CCCCCCAACTCTCATCTTGAGTCCATGCCTTAACTTCCTCTCAAACTCAATACAACGACATTCCTCAGACGCCACAAGCTCAGGTGCGATCCTGGATAAATTGGTAAATGCGGCCTCAAACTCGGCCACTGATAAACTCAGCTGCTTGAGCTGACAAAACTGGTCCTTCAGCTTCTCCCTACACCTAAGAAGATTATAACGCCCTCAAAATAAACCCGCCCAAGAAGATTGTTTCTGCCTTCATGAATGGGAAGAGAAAATCCCCCAAAGTTCGATGTATTATTCAATACACATATTCGATGTGTTATTCCAACCGTCACATTCAATGACATATTCAACCGATTAGTTTTAATTCACCTAATCATCATGCAGTGTCTACAACAATCAAGACTATCCTCCACCGATAGCCTAAAGCAGTTATTTCTAAACAGAAAATAAATGCATTAAACAGATATAATATCAACATTTACATAGGTGAACGATTAATCACTCCAACTACACCATTTAACTTATAATTCTCCAATTTCATAATTTCCAACTTAATTTCATATTCTCACAAATTAATTATTCAAATTAATTTATCACATAACTAGGGCATTTTTCCCTAATTCTTAATATCAACCCTAAGGTTCAAATTCATCAATATAACAACAATAATTCCATTTTACAAGGTCCCTTATATACATGGGATTTAACACAATTGAAAACCCCCTTTCTATAAATTACAAATCAAACCCTAACTTTTTCAAAAATTACCCAACAACACCAACTAATCAAAATACCCAAAATTCATGACAAAACTCATAAGATAGAGTAGGGTATCCCTACCTTGAAATGAAGAGACCAAAGGAGAAGATGATGAAAATCCAAAGTGCTCCAAATCCACAAATTTTCAGATAAAAAGGTAGCCCATACGACCCTCTATCTTTCTTACAAAGAGATTAGGGTAAGAACACACTAAAAATAGAGGAAACCCTAGAGAGAAGGTAAGTGTAGATAGAGAGAGAGAGAGCCGAATCTAGGGTTTTGAGATGAAAAGTGTATCAAAAAATGATGAAGGGGACGGCTGCTGTGTACTGATATAACAGAGTCTCGCTCGAGCGACCAGACACAAAGATACCTCGCTCGAGCGTAGGAAGCCTCGCTCGAGCCAACAATTCGAAGCTTCAGATCTACAACCAGAAGCACGCTCAAGCGAAGAAAAGCTCGCTCGAGCAAAGAAACCCAAAACATAGACCTCGCTCGCTTGAGCGAAAGAAAGCTCGCTCAAGCCAAGAAATGCAACTCTCAGGTCCAGAATCAGACGCAGACGCAAGCTCGAGCGCAAGACTTTTCGCTTGAGCCACCAAACACAAAACTCAACTCTCGCTTGAGCGAAGGAACCCTTTCGCTCAAGCGAAGGAATCAACACAAAGAGCTCGCTCGAGCGACAAAAGCCTCGCTCGAGCGAAGACACCAAAATCTGGACAGCAACCATTTGTTCCCAAACACAACCAACCTGTTACAAACATGCCCAACACATCCTAAAACTCATACAAAAATAATTAAAGGACGGAAATGAAAAAATGCAACAATACTCAACCACGGAACCTAAGTCCAGAATACTATACATAAAAGAGAAAACCCGGAATCGCTATAGTAGTAAGATATCTGGTGTAAAATAAACTATTCCACCTTTTGAATTCACATCTAATTCATAACTGCCTAAAATACTTTGTCCTACATCATTAAACCTATCATCATAAAGACATACAAAAACTTTAGTTCCTATATTTTCTCTAGTTAAAGCCTTAACTCCTACTACAACTAATCATAAGTGGGTCATTTTAAGGTGTTCATTTACTGCATATTTATAGCTTTCTCTATCTATTAAATTTAGTTCTATTTTTTTATCTTCTTGGGTTACACTAATCATTTGTTCACCATAGTGTTTAAATAGATATTGTTTTTTATGAACCTTACTTAGCTTATATACATATTTAGCTGGAATTAATTCTAGTTTTTCCTTCTTAAATTTTTCTATCTGTTGTTCTACATCTATAAATTTTTCCAATTTAATATCTTCATCTTCATTACGTTTTTTGCTACTACTTCTTTTTATTAGCTGTTTAAACATCTTTATTTTCTGTAAGTTCCACAAATAGGTTTCTTTGGTAATTTAAGTTTTTCGAAATATCTAGCTATATCTTCTTCGTTTACCTGAGATTGAGGTTTATTTACTTGTCCTTCTACTCTTTTTCCTTTTTGAAGTATTATTTTTTTTAGAGAAGCTAAATGATTTTCTAAATTGTGTAGTTGTTTTGATAGATATTCAAATTTTTCACAAAATCTAATTAGAAATAAAATTTCTATATTATTTTGTCTTACTGATATTTTATCTGATTGGTTTATTCCTTGATAGCTACTGATTCCTTTGTCTTACTGATATTTTATCTGATTGGTTTATTCCTTGATAGCTACTGATTCCTTCTGGGTTATTATGAAAATCTTCTGCTTGTTTTAAAGTAATCTGGTAATTTCTATTAGCTTTTTTTATCACTACTCATAAACTAAGATCTTATTAGTTGTTCTAAAATTTCTAATTTTTGTTTTAAATTATGTTGAATTTGGTTGATTTGTTATATTTGTTTAGCTATTTGATTTATCTGGCTATGAGTTTGTTCAATTAGTTGTTTAAATTTTAACTCTATTTGTTTTGAGCTGTTAGTATTTATAGCTGAAATTAAAGTTTTTATTTCTAGCTTAGTGGGAAATTTTTCTAAATTTAAATCTGTTCGTTTTTGTAAAATTGAACTACACTGGTCTTGGATATAATCTAATTTTTTATCTTGATCTTTAATTATACTACGATTATTACGGAGATGATCTATAGATGAAATAAAAAGATTACTAATTTTATCTATGTCCTTTTTAATATTTTCTGCAAAATTAATCTAATAATCTATGATACTATTTAGCTGAGGATTATGTTCACTATGAAGCTGACGTGTAAAAATAACTTCAAAATTACAACGAAATTTATTTTTATCTATGCTAAGATGATAATTATAATTGCTGAGTTCTAAGTCTAAATATTCTACTCTTTTCATACACAAAATTAACTCCTACTTTAAAATTATTACAAGCTATTATAACATGAAATTTATAACTAAAATGTCCAAAAATAAAAACTAGTCTATTGCCATAAGCAAAATGCATAAACTAACTTAAACTGTCCTAAAACTGAACACTACTCTGATACCAATTTTTTGGGTGGGATGAGTTAGTGATCTACCATTATTTTGAAATTGGGCTGAGAATCATCTAACTAATTCTACAGTTATGCTAATAGGTCTTCAAGCTGTTATATGGCTAACTTTAGGGCTTCTTGTTTTACAGTTATTTGTCTATTTATTTGAAAAAATTTTAAACTGTAATTTTCTAGGTATCTGCCAAATGCTAATGATGAAAGAAGTTGATACCTAAATTTTTGATCTTCTAATTCTTGTATAACCTCAGTACTAGTTCTGATTTTAATCCTAAGTTCTTCATCTAAGGGCATACAATTTTGACTTTTTAATTTCTTTTATGAACAATATTTTCTACTCGGGTTGCTCTCTTTTTATTCTAAAATTCTTTTTCTTTGGCAAAACTATTTTTAGGCAATGTTTATTTTCATTACATATACTCCCACCTTGAAGCTAAGCCTCATTCAACATAGTATATTTTTATTTTCTAATTTTTACCTTTCTCTTTCTGCCTACAATTTGCCCTCAAATGCCTAACCACGGCTCTCACGGGCTCTTCAGCTAAGGTCACTCAATAATAAAATAGAAAACAATAGATACTACGAAGATGCAAAGCATGTAATATTAATGAGCAAACAAGCATTCCATAAACTTAGTTTTTCCAAAAAGAAAATATTTTTTTAGAATAGAAGAGTTACCTTTTTGAAATATTTAAGGAAAAAGAGAGACTACTCACACTTCATATTAATAAGAAATATACTTACAAAGATTATATTACAGACTCTGAAATTCTGAAAGACTTAGTACACTTAGAGGGTTTTTTTTTTAGAGAGGTTGGAAATTTTTACAAAGCAGAGTGATGGGAAATTTTTTATTCTGTCTCTTCCGTTGGCATGAATGTCAATTTATACAGCTCAAAAGAAAGATAAAAACAAAAACTTCAATTTATGCTCTATGTCTAGACTTTTCTTAAATTCAAAACCTATAAGCCTAGACTTAGGTAGGTTTTTTCACCACCTAATAAAGACAAGGCTATAAGGATACAATTATATGCCTATATTGACGATTTTTCTACATAGATAAAAACAAATAGAGGGTTTGGATAATGATGCCGGGTACAGCTTTGGGCCCCATCGCACATCATTCAATCCTCCCTTTTTAACAAAATTTTGACACTATAATTTATTATAAGACACGTGTAAAGATTTTCACAGTTTTTCTTTAATGGAGCAGGATGGGGGTCACCTGCTCTATTAAAGTAGTGAGTGAAGGAAAATCTTTATTACTGACAGACTCAAATAATTACAGACACAAATATCTTCAAAATCTTTTGTCTTTTCTTGGCGTGCATTGAAGAGGAGCCTTATCTTCTACGGATTTTGTCTTCTTCTGCTGAAGTACTAATTATGGATGACGATGCTTGGATGCTGAATCTTCAAAGTGGATTCTTTGCAAAATTTGAAGAGTAAAAAATCTTGGAACTATTACAAAATTTTATATGAGTCTTAATTTCGAAGTGTACTAAATTTATTTTTTATTTTTTTTTTCACCCATACATTCTGTCTAAAAAATCGTTCAGGTCCGTTGCTGAGAGTTGGTCGTAAAAGTCATCTGTTGAGAGTGATCGTAAAAGTCATCTCTATTCCCATGGGTGGTTTATCGTGTCATTCTTAATCATTTGAGTCTGTCAGTAATAAAGATTTTATTTTATATAACTAAAATAAAATAAATAAATAATAAAAACGCTTCTAAAGAAATAATTTGGGATTAGAAATCCGTAGTCCGCCCGAGCGTTAAAACCGCTCTCTCTCTCTCTCTCTCTCCTCTCTTGTTCATATGTATAATATAAGCTTCCCGGCGGGCGAATTCCAGAAAAACAAAAGAGAAATAGGCAAACCCAATTTCTTCTCTCTGTATCTCTCTTTTGTAGCTCTATTCTTCTCAAAAACCTCCAAACATTCATCAGATAGAAAGAGAGAGAGTGAGAAAGCTCTCGTCTTCTCTCTTCAGAGAGAGAAACAGACTTTATATATATATATAGAGAGAGAGAGAGAGAGCAGAAGTTGATGGCTACAGCGCCAGAGAGATCGAGGCGTCTTCACAACTTCGCATTGCCGCGATTAAGATGGGGCAACCAGCGACTCCTCCGATGCATGAAACACGTCAACAACACCAACCCCGACCCTCGCAAATCGCCCCAATCGGATTTCTCCAATGAAGTCATCAATCGCAGATCTTCCGAGAGGGACAGCTTCAAGAGACCATCGTCGTCGTCGTCGTCGTCACCGTTGAAGCCAATTGCTGGTAGAAGAACCTGCCACACCAATGGAATCGAAGCTGTTCGCGAGAAGCTCATGTTCGATCTCAGAGTCGCCGCCGATAAATTGAAAGTCTCGTTTATACAAGAAAAGGAGTTAGCGCCTCGGCCTTGGAATTTGAGGACTCGGCGATCGGCTTGCAAGCTTCCCAACGAGCCACAGAGTCCGATGAGAGGTTTCGCTGTGCCTGTGCCTGTGCCTGTGCCTGCTGAGAGTGTAGAGAAGAGAGATAAGAGAGCTAAATTCTCGATTTCGCTTTTGCGAGACGAGGTTGAGAGAGATTTTATGGCGATTTCTGGTATGAGACCGCCTCGGAGGCCCAAGAAAAGGCCTAAATTACTTCAAAAACATGTAGATGTAAGAACAATTCCAATTTTCTCCCTTGTAACAAATATCAAATCGATTTTGATGTTCAAGCTTCATGTGTTTTTAATACTCCTACGTTTTTTTTTATTATTATTTTTGCAGGCAATTTTTCCGGGATTGTGGTTGACGGAAATAACACCAGATACATACAAAGTTCCTGATTTCGCCGAATCAGGGAAGGTAACATTTTCAACTCTGTTATAATTTTGTTTGAATACAAAGTTTTTAATTTTGTTTGAATACAAAGTCCACTTTCTGTTGTTGTTTGTGCAGGCGTTGAGATGATATGATAGCTTAGATGGTTTTGTACGAGATTAAGATATTCTGATTGCAGACTTCTGGTGCAGTGTGATCTAAATTTAATGGTAATGCACTGTCTATGTAAATTGTGAATTCAATAAGAATTAGTTGAAATTCCTGATGATATCTTGTTTGAGATGATAATTTGATTAATTAATTTCAATTTTTTTTTTCTTCCCTAGAAATTTAATTTATGAGTCTTAAAGGATAGATGGAATTCTAGATGGAAAAAAGAAATGAGTCTTAAAGGATAGATGGAATTCTAGATGGAAAAAAGAAACTTTGGTTTCTCTCTGCACTTTGCTCAGTCATATAAATTTTTTTTTTAAGACAAGTACACCGCAAAATGCAGAATTCATCATTTACATACAAAGATAAAGATTTTCCAACATCAAATATTCACGGTGCCAATTTGTTGTTTGGCTGGACCTTTCCAACAATATTTGGATTTGAATATTGAAAACTGACTGAATCACTGGAAATATTTCCATGCTGTGCTGTGCTCTATCACACCTCAGACTGGGTTGCATATTTGTTAACTAGCAACAACTGAGTTGTAGATTAATTGTCGTTTTTAGTATTGTTCTATTATTTTTGTCAGAATTTGATTTTTGTTTGTTGTGATGTGCAATCATCGCCTTCAGTTAGATGGTTGAGCTCTCTCTACATATCGGTCACAAACGCTGTGTGGTCAGTTTAATGTCGTAATGTGTTTCAGCATAGAGTACTCAATTTTGTTATCATCAACATGAAACTTGCATTCAATTAGCTGAATAAAGGCTAAAGCCAGTACAGATGACTACCAAATATTGTGCTGATCAATTCCATTTGTTGCAACATGAGAACTAGGCTCTGACTCTTGCATGGTGTTGTTTGTGACTAGATTTTTTTTATTTAATAGTTATTTCCTTTTGTATATATTTGCAGAATCAAAATGTTTTTAGGCACACTCATGACTCAACACAGCATATTGTAAATGATATCTCAAACCAACTGCTGTGGTTCTAGGTTCTTGACTTAATTATGCGTTCAGACCAATTCTGGAAGAGAACAACTTGAACAGGTTCATTCATGCTGTTGTTCCTCCTTCCATTTTTAGGTTTTTCTTTGTTTTCACGCTTTGGCCTAATTTTATGGTGCAATTGATGAAAACCTTGTACTAAGTTTCACGACATTACCAATTTCTAGGCATCAAAAGAGGGAACTGCAGAAATTCTGTAAATCTCCCCATTCTTGCATCCCCCTCAAGTAAGCTTGTACTGCGGTCACTCACATAAGGATTCTAAGACCTATACTATTTTATTCAGCTGCTATTACTAAACTATTTTGTTTGTGTGTATTTATCTATATATTATTTGAAAATAATAATAATAATAATAATAATAATAATAATAATAATAATAATAAGTGTGATCATTATCTATTTGGCTTGGTTAAAATATGTATATGTATATATATATATATACACCGTTACGTAACGGTTCCAAACTATTTCTTTCGAAAAAACACAAAAAAAAAAAAAAAAGCTGAAAATGGGGGAAGGGGATAAAGAGAAGAGGGAAGATAAAGAGAGAAAATGGAGGAACAAGAGATAGAGAAAGAGAAGAGGGAATGTGAAGAACATGTTATTGATTTGTTGAAACTGTAAGACCCAAGGTTCTGAAAAGCGGTTGCGGTTGCCGTAACGGTGGTGGTGACGCGGTTGCGGTTGCGGGGTATAAAGGCCGTAGTGTAACGGTTGCGGTAACCGAAACCGTGAATTTTTTTATTTTTCGCACAATTTGAAAAAAAGCTTACCAATACGCATATTTTTTTCCATGATCATATTTATTTGGTTAAAAATAAATATTGATCAATTTTTGTAAATTTTTAAGTATGATCCAATATATTTCATATTTTTAAATCACTATAAACTGAGTTTTTTAAAAACTCAGTTTATATTGATTTAAAAATATGAAATATATTGAATTATACTTAAAAATTTACAAAAATTGATTAATATTTATTTTTAACCAAATAAATATGATCATGGAAAAAAATATGTATATTGGTAAGTTTTTTTTCAAATTGTGCGAAAAATAAAAAAATTCACGGTTTCGGTTACCGCAACCGTTACACTACGGCCTTTACACCCCGCAACCGCAACCGCGTCACCACCACCGTTACGGCAACCGCAACCGCTTTTCAGAACCTTTATTCTAATGGATGAAAAAGTATCTTTTGAGCCATTAAAGGTCGATTCTTGTATTATGCTTATTTTCTTTTAAAAGCATATGAATTAAAGTCAATATCTTTGATAGCCAAGGTATTAAAGATCCAAAGAACCCACATATGGCCAATTTCAGTTACTACAGTTAGGATTTTTCTTTGGTTTACCACAAAGAGAGGATTTTATATGGGACTTTGTGGTTCCATTTTGACAATATTAAAAGGCCAACCATGATAGTTGTACTTTGAATGACCATGCTCTTTGTACAATTTCTTTATTTCTTCAGTTCGAAAGTTGGTCTTTCTTGGGTTCATGTTACCGGTGTTGCATTCATACTTTATTTCAGTTATAGGTCATTTTCCATTTGCGTATGGCTGCCAGGAAAGAAGGCCCTTTCACATCAGGTTTCTTGATAATTCTTGTCAAATAGGTTTTAACATTTTTCAGTCTCCACTGCTTGTATTCATTTCAGGGTGATGAGGTGATTGTACTGTCTTTAGGCAAATGGTGTTAAGTAGGCAAGCCCAAGGGGCTTGACTTAGTGGAAGGAAAGGCAACCAAAAAGCTATGAAGCATGGACACAGCAAAATAGAAGCCGTGGCGGTGTCGGAAACGGGGACATGCCGGGGACACAGGGACACCCCGGGGACACGTACGGGACACGGCATCTGGCGTGTCCCCTTAATTTAATCTATTTTTTTGCAGGGGACACGCCATAGACACGGCGAGAAGAGTTAATGAAAGGGAAAACGAGGACAAACCTGGTCGGCGACGTTCCAGAGCCCTTCGACTTCGATCGACAATCCAGAACCCCATTCGACTTCAATCGACGATCCAGCCCTTCGACTTCGACGAGCTCTCTGTCGCCTTTGCCTTCGCAGATCGCTCTCTCTCTCTCGCCTTCTCTCTCTTGCTCGCGATCGCGATCGATCGCGTTCGTCTCCCTCTCTCTCGCTTCTGATCGCGACCGTCTTGCTTCTGTCTCCTCTCTCTCGGTTCTCTCCCGTCTGTCCTTTTGTCTTGATTCATATATAACATTATAACTATTATATAATAACTATTATTATTATTATTATATATTCATATAGTTATTATTATTATTATTATATATTCATATAGTTATTATTATTATTATTATATATTCATATAGTTATTATTATTATTATTATATATTCATATAGTTATTATTATTATTATTATATATTCATATAGTTATTATTAGTATATAACATAAATATACTTATTAGATAATGGATAAAACATATTACAAGATAATATATATTTATACATATTAATAAATAAAAAAATAAACATATGTATGTAAAATAAAATAAAATAATTAATTACAACACATTATTTAAAAATATAATAAATAAAATAATTAATATGTATTAAAATAAAAATATTTATTAAAAAAATTAAAAAATTTGCCGTGTCCCCTGCCGTGTCCGTGTCCGTGTCCCCATTTCTTAGAAATTGCCGTGTCCCGTATCCGTGTCCGTGCTTCATAGCCAAAAAGTTTAACCACCCAAGAAGTCGCAAAGTACCAAACATCCCAAATTTTGGGGCCACTAGAGATTTGTCTAGTCGTTAATTTTAAGGTTTTGGAATTAATGTGCACGTAAGTTAACATGAACACCTGGTCATAAATAATGATGAAAAAGGGTAGGCAAAATTGGCTCTCAAATTCGTAGGAAATGTTGGAACCTAGGTTTTATTTTCATACCAATGAATTTCACTCAGGATATATTTTAAATTGTAATATGGTTCGTTCTTGTGATGTATCATTGAAGGTCGGCATGCCATTGTTGGGCTGCCTGCGAACTTGGCTGTTAGCCATGTAAATTCTTTTAACTTCTGATTTTTAAATATTTCCGTTTGTGACAAATTTTTCATCAAAAGCCTTATATTAGTGATGATGGTTTTGTGCATGGTAAACCAGTGGCCCGTGGGACAGGGCATTTTGCTCAATGGTTCATATAGTTATATTTCAGCCTGTTTGTTTTGGGAGATAGAGATAGAGATAGGATTGAGATTGAGATGGAAGTGGAACCTATTATATGTTGTGTTTGTTTTGAGAAATGGAAAGGGAATTCATAATCTCATAGGATTAAGGTAGGCCTTGGTAGTGAGATTGAAACGGAGGAGATGGAGATGGTATTAGGAAATTAGTTCCGATTAGGTTTTTTTTTTATTTATTATTATTTACATGTTGGCCATTTTTTTAGGGTAAATTACATTTACATCCTCTGAGGTTTAGATTTAATACATATCACCCCTGACGTTTGGAAAATTACACTAACCCCCTGTCATTGTAATTATTTAGACATAATAAAAACATTGAACTCATGCACTCTCTCTTTTTTTGCTTTGCTTTACTTTCCCTTTTTTTCTCATTTCCTTTACTTTTTTTTTTAAATGTAATTTTTTCTGTTTTTATACTAGGAGTTGTTATCTTTTATATAAGTAGAGGGGGTTTGTGAAATAAATCTATTAACCACAATGGTGGAAATGTCATTTTTAAAACGTCAAGGGATGGGTAATAATTAGACCAAAGCTCAAGGGGTGTCAATGTAATTTATCCTTTTTTTTAACATTAATGTTTAATATTTTTGTATTTTTTGTTAAGTAAAAATCATAATTTTATTTAGTTTAATATTTTATATTTCTTTTAAAGGGTAATAATTTAGCAATCCTCACATTAACAACTACCATAAAAACAAATATAATTTTACTTAATTCTCTTACTATCAATTCTTTTATTATTAATTCATTCACTATCAATTCCTTCTATTTTACTTCTAAAAACAAACAAGGTTTTAAAACAATAGTTCGAGATGATAAAGTGACTACGGTCTTTTCGTTGTAATCTAACTTGCTAACCCTTAATATTCTATCGCATGGCGGCGGCAGCCAAAAAAAAATAAATAAATTGTCCATTTATCATATATTATTTTATATTCTCTTTTTAACTTTGTTTTTTCAAACTGTTAGCACATAGAGCAATGCTCACAAAACAACTGTTGGCCCAACTCCAAGAAGGCTAGGCTCTTTTATATTTAAAACAAATATTTTATTGACTTTTTTTTTTAATTTTATTTTGTGTAAATTTTAAATTTTTATTCTTGTAAATAAAATTTTGGACCTTTGGTTGTGAATAATTTTTGGGCAAATTACATATACACCCCTCGAGGTTTGGCTAAATTACAGATACCCCCTGAGGTTTCGGAAATTACATCCCGCCCCCTGAGGTTTGTATTTTCATAGCAATGCTCACAAAACAACTGTTGGCCCAACTCCAAGAAGGCTAGGCTCTTTTATATTTAAAACAAATATTTTATTGACTTTTTTTTTAATTTTATTTTGTGTAAATTTTAAATTTTTATTCTTGTAAATAAAATTTTGGACCTTTGGTTGTGAATAATTTTTTTAGTTGAACCTTTGTACGCGGGGATATTTTTCTGAACCTCCCTGTTTCTTTAGTTTTTTTTTTTTTTTTTTTTTTAGCCAATAGGATTGGGGCTTTCAAATAAGAAAATTTGTTCTATGAACTCTTAAAAAAGATTTATTATGGGTCTTTAGAAGAAAAAAAAAAGTGTTCTTTAGATGATAGTCTTTTTCTTGTCAATCAATAAAAGATTATTTGCATTATTAAGAAAATTACTTCAAACTAGACACTCTATTATATATAAGAAAATCCAATAATACATATATATAAGTCCAACACCAACTGATGAGACAGTTCGTAATGGTAGGACGGGTCGGACTGATCCACGCTCCTCAAGCCTACGTCTGAGTGAGCAAACCTACGGAGGAACCTGCACAAAAGTCCAATGGGGAACGGGGAGTCCCCCAACGA